ATCAGGAAAATAACTTGTTCTTACCCTGTACCTTAACTTGAAGGAAGCAGTCCCTAGCTGGCTTCAACCAATTAAAACAGAAGATCCTGCCTCTGCCCCTTCTGTGAGGGTTTCCAGCAAGCTCTCCCGTTTTCATATGTGTACTATAATACATACACATATGAAAACGACACAGCTGAACCCAGCTTGACTCTAACTACAAATAGTGACTAAACATCACAGAAGTAAATCTGATTTAGGAGACTATTCATGCATGCCACACAGTGAATTCCAAAGACAACTTTGTTTTGGGGTGAATCTGTGACACCCTGGTCTTGGTTTGTACCAGATTAAATCTTTTAGCTCTAAGCACAAAATATCCAATGTAATGTGTGGTCTTTTGCACAAGGGAATGGATGAGACACCCAGACTAAGCCATAAGCAAAGGTCCAATCGCAGGCATGTGAGAGCAAGTAAATCATTTCTCGGGGTAAACATGGTTCTATATTCTCTTCTGACAGCATCAGATAAAATGCTGAAATGATGAAAAGCTTCTTGATTTTGCCTTCAGGTTCAAGCATACCACCTTAAAATAGATCATTTACAGTGAACGAGATTTACACAATTGTTTTATATTATACATAGCAAAACATGCTTTTAATTCCTGCTCCTATTCATGTCATTGGGAGCTTTACCACTAATGTCAAAGAAAATAAGACTAGCTCCAAAAACATGTTTGCACTGAAATGGAAAAGGGCATGAGCCACTGGTGTCTCCTGAGTCTGCAGGGGCACCAGATCACTGATGGGGGGAGGGTCCCCCAGAAGCTGATCACTGACCAGGAATGGGATGGGAGTCCCCCAGCGGCGGATTGCCGAGCCAGCAGCAAAACCAGAAGTGCACTTCTGCCGGCACTTCCAGTTTTGTGGCTGGCACTTCCAGGAGGTGCACAAATGCTCTGCATACAGTCCCTATGTATTGCTAATGGAGAAGGGGAACCCCTCCACAACAAAAAAACAACCAAGCAAAAACAGATGCTCTACAGGTAGTTTTACCTATCATAATTTCTGTAGTTGCTCTGCAGGAACTGAGATTAGAGTCAAGCATGACATCAAGGCTACCCACTGTCAAAGCAAACAGAAGGTGTGAGTGTGGAAAAAAGAGACAATGAGTTGTACTGGGAATTGTTTTGTTGCGCAGGGTGGATCTGAGCTCCTCCTACCTGCTTTGTGGGATGCACTTTTCTAAATCATAGAATTATAGAGAAGTAGGAGCAGAAGGGACCACAGTAGCTCCTGCTCAAGGCAACATTGTCTCTGACTAAACAAGGGCTTGTCTAACCTGCCCTTGAATATTTAAATAGAACAGCAGTGCATCAGGCCAAAACTGCACTTCAACAGCCACAGAAAGAAGAGCCAGAAGATTGATATCTGTAAGTAATTGTGAGAGCCTTTGTTTTTGTATATGTGTTATTAAGTTTGTCAAAAGGGAACCCAGAGCTCAGGAAACTCAGTGCTTCCAGAAGAATATATCAGATGAAAAAATATATGATAATAATTAATTAATAATAAATGAAATGCAAACCAAGGGAATAAGTGAGCCCCAAGCATGTAATTTATTAATAACTCTCTCCCTAAAGCATGCTTATTATTAGTTAACTATTGGACAAAACAGGGCAGTGGTTTTAAAAACGGCTTCTGTTTTTATTAAGTTTAAATATACCATTTATATGAGAAGGCAGCAAAATAATTACGAGTCTTAGTGGATGATTCTTGTTTTGCTGAATAGCAGAAAATGGATTAATAATTATACTTAACACACACAAAGCTCTTTTCAGAGAGTTTCAAAGAGCTTTACAAGTATAAGTAGTAAATATGAGCAGTAAGTCATTATTCCTATTTTGCAGATGGTCACACACACATTTTCACAAGTGGTTTCCAATGTTATGAGTTAAACTTTTAGACAATTCTGGGGCCTGGTTTTTAGCTGGGTCACAAACACCAACATCTCCTAGTGACATCAGTGGCAAGTGTGGGGGTTCAGCATGTCTGAAAAGCAGACCTGAAGCTTTTAAATCTAAATGCTGAAAATCTGAGGCTACTTTTGAGAACACAATCCTTAAGCACAGACTTTCAGGGGTGCTGAGCACCCCAAATTTCCCTTCCCTAATATTAATGTTGCAGACGCTCACCTCTTTTAAAATAGGGTGACCACCCATCTCTAACTGGGAGGGACAGTCCTGGAATGGGAACCTCAAGTCCCAGTCCTGGGCTGCAGGGATCCAGGTTTTTTGTTCACCACAGGAGATGGCACATTTCCCCTTGGAGGCTGCTAGAGTTCCAGCCTGCAAGGAGCTGTTTGGGGCTGCCTGAGCAGGACTCAGGGAGCACCATGCACATGTGTATAGGCACACACGTGGCCAGCAACATGGAGAGCAGCACGTGGCCAGACAACATGGAGAGCAGCTCCCTGTGGGTAAGTCTATGGGGAGGAGGGGGCATGGCAGGGGTAGGGTGGGGCAGATTGAAGCCCCCATGGTGAGGGAGGGAATGGGGCTGGGGGTGCTGTCCAGCCAGGGAAATGTGTGGGGCCAGGGCATGGAGTGGGAAGGACTCACAGGCAACTCATCCAGGGGGTGGGGGGATGGGGCAGGGCTTCCCGCCACTGCATGCATCCCTCAGGGGAGGAAGGAGGGCATATGCCTCCCTCAGATTTGTACATGAGGCAGGGCAGATGCAAACTGCCCACTGTGGCCTCAGGGCTCCTGCCCTGCTGCCTTCCCCGGGAGCCCCATGTTAGGTGTGCACCTCCTGCTCTCCCGGCAGCAGTGGGGGTGGCGGTGGCATGGAGTTGTGCCCCCTCCTGCTGCCAGGTGGGAAGGGGTGCACAGCTAGTGCAAGGGTCCTGGGGGAGGGCAGTAGGGCAGGAGCCCTGAGGCCACAGCAGGCAGCCCACATCTGCCCCCAGTCTGCTCGGCTCCGCTTTGCTTCAGCCGTGCCACCAATGGAAGGGGTGAGAGGGGAGAGGGGGAGAGACAGGCTTGTGTCCCACCTTTCCATTTTGAAAAGGTGGTCACCCTATCTGAAAAGCAGACCCTTGATGGCTTTTTCACAATCAGAGAGGAGATCCATGTCCTCCTGCGTTGTCATCATTCTTGTATATCTTGATGGTTGTACACAGGTGATGTAGCAAATGGCACATGTTCATTTTTATTTTGTTTTTAGACTCTGAACACTTGATCTGAGCTCTGGCTGATAACAGATCAATGAAAAAGAAATGTTGCTGAGAGATAAACGGGTGTACACAACCTTGACACACAGATAATGGACCTGATGCTGCTCTCACATGAGCAATCCCCTGAAAGTCTATGCTCCAGCTGGAGCTGCGTGCATGCAGAGCTCATGATGGGACTGTGGCCTGCATATGGAAGGGCTTACATGACTGAGCATGGCAGCTGCTATATGGTAACTGAATCCTACAGATTCACTGCATTACAAATAAATATAATAGCAGAGTATCTCAGCAGGCTCTGCAGGTCCCTTCAGGTCTATAAGATATAAGTAGGGTATGTTGATGACAGGCCCTGGAGGCCTATGAGACCAGAGAGCGTGCAAGGGTATGTGGACATCACGCTTTATTGCTCTAACTCTGGAAAGCTCGGGGAGAGGCTCTAAAGTAGGGCAAGGAGCCTAACAGATAAGGAAGATGTTGTGAGAAAGGGTGCTAGAAATCTGAGGCTTTCAGTCCTGCGAACCCCACACATATGAAACGTCTGAGTCTGGCCCCAAAACAAAGGGAATTGTCCACAAAATTCTTATATTCAGTTTAGAAAAGAGACACTTGAGAGGAGACATAATAAGAGTTTACAAAAAACTAAATGGTGAAGAGAAAGTAAATAGTTATTTATTATTTACTTGCTCTCACAACACAGAAACCAGTAGGTAGTAAGTGTAAAACTAATAAAAGAAAGGTCTTTCACACAGCTTGTTATTTCAAGTGTAGACCTCGAGCCCACCACATGCTGTGGAAACCAGCAGGTTTGCTGGATTCAAAAAAGGGTTGGACAAATTCTTGGGTGGGGGGAGTGGCATCCATCAGGAATAACTGAATGTGGGAGTTGTGGCTATAGCCTCTGAATCAGCACTTCCTAGACCTTAAATGCTGGAGGCTACAAGTGCGAGAAACCCTGGTCATAGCCCACTCACACTCCTTTTCAGCATCTCTCCGGGTCCTGCTACGCCTTCTAATTAAACCTGGACAGAAACCAGCTATAGCCTAGTGACACATTTTCAAGCGCTAACTTTAACACTTGATCTGAGCTCTGGCTGATATAAAGGATCAACAAAAAATGTTGCTGAGAGATAAACGGGTGTACACAACCTCGACGCACAGTTAATGGGTCTGATGCCAGCTCTTTTTATAGCTGGACTCTCGTTTTTATGGTGTGAGCATTACTTGGCCTGCATGGCCAGTCGCTATTCATTGTGTGACTCGCTGGTGGGCTGGGTCACATATGTAACGCGTAGCAGGGGCCTGTGCACTGCAGGAACCCCGGGCAAGACAGACCTATGGGAGTGACACCGTAAACGGCAGCTCTCACGTGCTTAAAAAGCAGGAATGCAACGTGACCCAAGGATGAAACTGGTGGCCTTTGAGGCGAGGATTTGCTGCAGTCACCATTGCCAGTGGCCCCCGAACCAGTCCTCCAGGGGCTGAGGTTTGTAGGGCTTGCTCACTTGTATCCCCTTTTTCCAATGGTGCCAGGGTCAGCAGCAGCCCACGTGTCCCATCCCCGCTCCCCACAAAGCTGGTGTCTGGCACTTTAAATCCCCAGGCTCAGGCGCGCCGCTCCCCACCATCACCCACCCCCAGGTCAGAGGCGCGAACCCCCCCCAATAGCGGAGCGCGCTCGCTGATTGGCTGAGCACCTCTTGCACTGATAGTCAACAGGGCCAGCGTGCGGGAGCCGCGGCCTTTTCCTCGTCCAATCGGCGCCGGGGTTACTGTCGAGGCGGGGGGTGCCCGAGCGCCAGCCAATGGGAGGCGGCCTTCTTGGCGGCGGCGCAGCCCTAGTGAGTCTGAGAGGATCTGGGGCGCCGCTGCGGGCGTGAGGAGACACGGGGCCCGGGCAGGTGCGGGGGTGGCCCCAGGGCGCGGTCGGGGAGGGGGACGCGCGGGCTGGCCCTCGGGGCGGGAGTGGCCTCCTTCTCCTTCTCCTCAGCCAGGCCCGGGTGGGGCTCGGGGAGGAGCTTGCTCTTGCGGCTCGGCAGCTGCTGGTGGCGGAGGTCGGCGTGTGCGGTCGCGGGGTGGGGCGGGCTTGCTGGCGTTAGTTCCGGGACCGTTATAACGGTGCCTGCTGCGGCGGTTGGGAGGCGGGACCGTTTGGCCTCGTGG